AGGTTCCTTTGGTTGACTTTTCTTCTCATACTATTTCCTTCGATATCTGTCCTTTAAAAAATGGCATTACTGAGATGTATTTCATATACCATGCAGTTTGAGCATTTAAAGTTGACAGTTTAATGTTTCTAGAAGATAGTCGCAGAGTCCTTTGTTAGAATATGTTCATCTCTCTTAGAGGAAACCCAGTGGCTCTCACTCACACACCCCTGCCCAGCCCTGGTAGCCCCTGCACTCCCTGTTTCTACAGATGTCTTTATTCTGGTCTTTTCATATGAATGGGATTATCTAGCATGCGGTACTCTTGACGCGATGTTCCTGGGCTCATCCTTGTACTGTGTATCAGTACTTGTGTGGCTGATACATTTATCCTCATCAGTTGAAGGAAGTGCAGATTGTTTCTTCCTGGCTCTTCAGGCTAGTGCATGCATGGATGTTCTTGCATACCCTCGGGTGGGGAGACCCCCAGGCTGGGTGCGAGATGTTGAACTCGTTGAGGTGCCGGTGTGTGAAGGCGCAGGCACTGCTGCATGTGCCACTGGCTTCTCCGCAACCTGGTTGTCCCCTCTCCTTTTGATCCTGCCCATCCTGGTGAGTGTGAAGTGGCTTCTCAGTGTGGTTTCCAGTTGTATTTCCCTGGTAGCAAATGATACTGAGTATCTTTTCATATGCTTTGAGCAGTCCACTTGTATATCTTCTTTGGAGAATGCTAATTCCGTGTCTTTTAAATTGAGTCGTTTGTATTTTTACTGAGTTATAGGAGTTCTTTATATAATTAGATAAAAGTCCTTATCAAATAGGTGATTTGCAAAAATTTTCTCTCATTTTGCTGGTTCTCTTTTTGTTTGATAAAGTATCATTTGCAGCAAAATTAAAATTTTAATGAAGTGCACCTTAGCTGTATTTTCTTGTGTTGTTTAGGCTTTTAGTATTTAATAAACCTTTGCCTGATTCAAAGTTCTGAAAATAGACACCTGTGGTTTCTTCTAAAAGTGCTACAATTGAGATACTGTATTTTGTCTGGGATTCACTAGGATTAGCGCTGGTGGGAGGTGGGGCCAGGGTCCCTCCTTACTGTTGTGTCTGCCGTCGGGTGGCTGGCCGGCTGCCAGCTTCCCGGGTGTTGGCATGGAGTCTGGTGTGCACTCGGACTGGCTCTCGGGGAGCAGGAGCCTTGGAGCCCTGTCATGGTGCCGATTGCCTTGGCTGACAGAAATGAGGCAGTCAGCAGCTATTTCAGTTCTCTCTGCCCACAAATTAGATCTGGTTTTTATTGCTGTTTGCAGTGATTGCTATTTTAGGGTTTTAGAAAGAAAGAACTTTTAGCGGTTCTTCAACAAGTCTGTTAGTAAGCTCTGTTTTTGCATAGCCCAGAGTCTGGAAGGGCGGTTTCCGTGGAGAAAGAACTGTAGCTGTCAGGCTGGACTCCCAGCCCCTCCGAGACGCTGCCCCGTGCTCTGGGTGCATGGCTCCTGCTGGCGGGTGATGAGCAGGCTGCATTTTCTCTGTCATTATCTGTTGTTCAGCAGTTTCTTTAGGATAAGCTTTAATCCCACTTTGCAGCTGTGTCACAGTGAAACTGTAAGCTTTTTATTACAAATAATATACTTGTGTTGTTTTTTATGCTAGTAGTTCCTGTGTTTAATACAGTCTTCAGAGATTGTTTAGTTGAATTATTTTATATGGCTACTTTTCTGCCAGAGTTTGACTTAGAATATTTTTTAAAATTTATATAAAATATAGGAAATACTTTGAAATATTAACTTGTTAGCACAGGAGGGTTGCATGTGGTGTAAGGTTCCTGTATGGTATGCTATAGCTGTGATGTGCCATTTGAAGGCGAGGGAAGAAGCGGCATGGGGTCACATAAAGCTTACTGCCTTCTTAGTTAGGGTCAGTATTTTCACTCAAAAAATGAATATTTATCATACTATTTTATACTGACTAATACATTAAGGTGGTACATTGTAAATTAGAATGTTTTGAAATGGTTATATAGTGTCCTGATTTTTTTTAACTATAAAAATTTACAGTTTATTATAAATCTGCAAGACCAAGAGGGTGTGGTGTTTTTTGTATCTAATTTTTTTTCACTATCGGAAGGATAAAGCAGCACAGGGAAAGGGGGAAGAGGAGGAGAGAGGGAGAGAGACACACACTTACACACACTCACACTAACATCCCTGAATTTAAGAGTGAAATGAAGTTGGGATTTTGTTGGGAATTCAGAAATATGTTATTTTATTTTTGGTACCGGGGATCAAACTCAGGACCTTGTGCTTGCCAGGCATGTGGCAGCACCATTGAGCTAAATCCCTGGCTCAGAAATATGTTATCTTAAAAACAGTCCACTTCCACATCAGGCTACAGTGATGTCCTCTTTCTTGTATTCTGCCCTCGCACGCCTCCATCTGCCTGAAACCATGACCCCTTCTCCCTGTGAAGGCTGCAGACCCATCTTGTTTTTCAGAAGGGCGCTCTGCTGCTTCCACAGCATCCACTTAGATGGAGGCTGGGTGCCATCGTGTGGCTTTCCTTCGGGATTTGTGGCTACAGTTAAGTAGCTTAAAGCACATTAGAACTGCACTACACCTGTCCCCAGTTAACCTTCCTTAGGGCAAAATAACATTTTTGAAGTGTGAAATTGTTAACATGAACGTCTTCTGATTATGTCCAGAAGGCGCAATGGCTCCCCTTCTCCACACATCCATCTGTGCACCATTTAATCCCGTGCCGTTTATTCAGGAGCTGTGTGCGCGCGTGTATGTGTGTGCCCGTGTGCGTTGACCGAGCGCTGATCCTGGCATTGACAGTGAGGGGTTCTGAGAGTCACAGTCGGTCAGATGTTACCCTGAACTCAATACTGGTCATGGTTGAGCTCGGGGTCCAGAGCTGAGAGCAGGCGTCGGTGAAGGGTGTTAGAGCGCGTGGAGCAGCAGAGTCTGGTGTCTCCTGAGTGCCTCTTGATGCAAAGCTTGGAGGATTCCTACTGTGGAGCTCCGGGAGTCAGTTCTGTGCTGTCACAGTCCACGAATGCCATCTCAGCTGCACTCAGCATCACAGAGCAAGCAGCCATGTGTGGGACTTGCTCTGCTGCCTTCCGAGCCAGCTTTCTCTGCAGTGAGGGCTCCCGGAGCTGCTGAGGGAAGCAGCAGACCTGGGGCTATGGTCTCTGCTTCCTGCTGTCACCTGAGGCTCCGCCCATCCTTCGGCACAGTGCCCTTGGAGGTAGTGATTCTTTGAAAATCACAAAAGCAACCTTTGCAGGAGAAATGGTAGAATTATCTTACCTGAAGCTAAAGTAAGACATTGTGTACGATGAAATGTGAAAATCCCTTCTCCTTTTGCCGTCTTCCGTATGCAGGAGTGACTTCCTTCACTGAGTTTCAGGTGTATTCTTCCAGAACTTTGCGCTGCGCGTTATATATGTATGTTCATATACACATGTAAGTAACTTGTCTGTACTCTAACATTAAATATCGACATACGTGTACTTCCCCTTTTCTCCCAAAGGTTACAGGGGTTTATGTTCTCACATCATAGTGTATTAAGCACCTTTTAATACTTTTATGAATATAATAGGGAATACACATTGCTGTTAGTGTATTTTTTGTCTTAGATCTTGTTTTTTAAAAATGTAAAGATGTTGGGCAGGGGATTTAGCTCAGTGCTTCCTCTGTCTGCCCCACAAGCGTAAAGACCCAAGTTCCATCCCTGGTACCAAAAAAAAAAAAGTAAAGATGTTTTTAAGAGGCTATGATGATCTTAATACAAATATTCCCTTTTAATAATAAATATATATCTAAAATTACCCCATTAATATGGATAGTCCATCAGCATTTGGGGCGTTTGTCATTTTCTGTTTGGACCCAGCCCTCAGGAGCATATCCTCTCTGTTTTCTTGTTTGGTCACCCAGGCTTCTGCCGTTGTCTCGGTGTAAGATCACTGCAGGTACAGTCTTTGCCATTCCCCCACTCCCCTAGAAACTCCCCAGGAATGAGAGCCAGGCTCTTTCCTCAGCAGAGCAGAGTGCATCTCTGCTTCACCTTCACCTGTCAGAAGGAGCCTGAGCAGCCTCTCACGACTGTTAGCTCCACAAAGAGAAACGGAATCTTTTATGTATTTTCTTGCTTTGGTGCCACCTTGTCCCAGCTGGGTCCTCCATGGTTCACTACTGTCTGCCGGCAGACGAGCAGTGTGTTCAGGGCGTTGCTCTCCACAGCACTTGCCGGAGGAGTGCGGACTGGGCTGGGTTTTAGTTAGGCTACCCAAGTCACTTTCCTGCCCCCAGCTCTGGGGGCAAACACTGGAGCTGCCCCCCTGCTACGTGCAGGGTCTGGAGCAGCGGTGGGAACCTGTGGCAGGTGTGCGGCAGCGGCTGTTTGTGTCCTTGAAAGGTCTGAAGGTGCACCATTGCTGCTCTAGACCCTGGCTCTGCAGCTACCTTTGTGGGAAGCAGCTGGCTCTGCTGTTGCTTCTTCCAGCGGGAAATGGCAGCGCCGAGTTGAGCCCACTTCCTCATGCACTGGTGCTCTTAGATGTCTGTGGGAGTTTGCAGGGTGTGCTGGGGATGCCAGGTCTAGTATTCATTTGGGAGTTTGGACTCACAATGTGAGAGTTCCTAATCGTAGAATCGCTCTGAGACCCTGATAGGCAGTCTTGTACTCGGGAACTGTTTACTGTGACGTTCTGTCCACACCCCTCATCTGTGGGCTCCCCAAGTAAGCATTTCTGTGCAAAGACGACTGGAGTTTCATTTTTGAATTAGTCTACTCGGTTCTGACCTTTCCAAACAGTTAGACATTACCAGTTTGTCTTCCCCATGGACTTTATTTCTTTGAAACAGTATCAGAGCACACAAATAACCTTGAAATATATTCTGGCTTGAGAGTCAAGAATTTTTGAAAAGATAGGGAAAACATAACAGCTGCCTCCCCCCCCCCCCAGCCTCTGGCTGTTCAAGTTGTCATCCCTCCCACCGAGGTCGGCACGCCTGGTGGTAACTTAGCGCGTGCTGGTGAGCACATTGAATGTAGGGCTCTTTAAGGTCGGGTTTTCCCTGGGGCTCCTGCCAGGAGCCTGTGTGCAGCTTGTGTGGGGCAGGCCCGCTGGAGCCATGGACTCCGAGGTGCCTGGGACGTGAACGTGCACAGCCTGGGACTTAGCGACTGCAGAGCGGATGAGGAGCGGAAGGAGGCGTGGGAGGCCTGGGAACCACTTCGTCTCTGCAGATGAGTTCTCAGAACCCTTTCTGGTTATTTTACCACCTATTCACATGTTTGCGATTTGAATTAGGGTTTCAGGGGATGCTGAGTCTTCAGATTTGGCCCAGACTCCCACGGTGTAGAGAGATTCAAAAGTAACATTTTCTGACGGAGCCTGGCTGGATTATGATGAGGCCTCCCGATAGGGAGATGGCTGGTTTTCTTTTAAAGGCACAGTGCTTTGATTAACTAGGATAAATACAGACGTGTGTCCCGGCCACTCCGTCCCTCCTGTGCCCTACTACGTAAGTATATCTGAAGTACCGTTTGAAGGCGGTGCCAACGCGCCAGTCCTGAGGAGTCTGCGAGGCCGTGGCGCGGCCTGTTCACGCTCCTGGGCGCGCCGCGCCTGCCTTCTCCTGCTAAGTAACTGAGCGGCAGTCTGTTCTCTCCGCAGATCACTCCACGTCCAGCGGCGCCTTATCCTTTCGGCCCAGCCGCTCGCTTGTCACCCTGCCCACCGCCCATGTGATGCCGTCCAGCCCCAGGCACAGGGACTCACCGGTGTCCGAGGGACCGCGATGGAGCGCGGGCCTCCTGCAGGCGCTGGGCGACCACGGTGGCCGAGAGCGGGAGCCCGACTCTTGTCTGGACATGAAGGGCTCCCGGCCCCTCCGGAAGTGGTCGTCTCTGTCCAGACTCACCGCCCCCGAGGGCTGCGGCCTGGGTGGCCCCCTGACCGCGGAGGAGTGCGGGACCCGCCTGGAGAAGACGGGGCGGGGCGCGGACCCAACGTCACAGTGGAGGACCTTGAGGCCCCGCTGCCTGCACGACGGCATGGAGGTGCTCAGGCTGGAGGACAAGCAGAGTGGGGGCAGGCGGACATCGGCCCTGGACTGCAAGTACAAGTTTGAGAGCTGCAGCCCCCAGGAGGACCTCAGAGCCTGCCCCTCCGCGCTCCGGAGGCAGCTCCTGGACGTGACGCACAGTGCCTTACCCGAAAGCAAGCCCGCCGAGGCCGGCCCGGAGCCCCTCGAGTCTCCCAGGTACTTAGTGCTTGGCCAGCAGGCGGTGGGCGGAGTTCCCATCCAGCCCTCCGTGCGGACACAGATGTGGCTCACTGAGCAGCTGCGCACCAACCCTCTGGAAGGCAGGACAGCGGAGGACGCCTGCAGCCTGGCGCCCTGGCCGCAGCAGCTCGGGGAGGCCCCGCTGCAGGTAAGGCGCGTCGGGGCTGCCTCCCTCCCTCCCTCCCTCCCTCCCTCCGTGGGCGCCGCCCGCCCTCCCGCAGGTGGGCCCTCGAAGGCCGAAACGTCCAGCAGCCTGTGAGGCGTTTGGCACTGACCGACCTGAAAACTAAAAACTTGTACCTGGTCTTTACTTTCTTTCTCATTTGTTAAATGGGCATAAACATAAACAAAAGAAACCATATTTAATCTAAAGAAACCGGGAGCAGGAGGAAAGCTGCTCACATGGAGTAATGGAAGGAAAATGGACATGGGAGTGCTTGGTTTTGGGTTTTGTTTTCCTCTGTGTGAGAACCTGGATGATTCGCAGCCTATCTTAGTGTCTCGGGGCCTCAGTTTCTTCATCTTTAAAACAAGAAGGTGGAACCAAAGTCATTAGAAAGGTGTTGGTAACCGTTGGTATGTATAATCGGACACGCTTAATTTTTAAAAGGTCAGGATTTTGTTCATCAGTGTAAGGAAAACACTTTATTATAATGCATTGTTAAAGAAAGATATTGTATATCCCTTAATGAGCCCAGGGAAAACATAAATATGTAAATTTCTTGAGCTGGAAGTCTTTCTATTTCAAGATAAATTTCCATCACTCATTTTTACTGGGAAATCAAATTCCTGATACAAATCCTGTCATCTGTTTTTTCTTGGTACCGGGGATCAAACTCGGGTCCTGGTGCTTGCGAGGCAATCATTTATTTCTTTATTACCAAAATTTTCTGAAACATTAATTCTATCAAAACATGCAAAATTTCCATAGAATAAAACTTAAAATTAAAGAATAAAGAGAGAGCATGTACAGGAACCTCCTACATCGGAATACAGCCCTGGAACCTACATGCAGCCCTGCGGGCTACATTTTCAGGAGAACCTTTAGCTGATCTCATGTGCCTTCCTACTCTTAGTATGGATGTCGTTCTTGTAGTCTTGGTTACACCACCTAACCACATAGAAACATCGTGATCTTAGCCACAGATCCAAAAAGGGTTGATTTAACCAGATTTGTGATTTATCAGTTCATGTAATTGGAAGACAGGAAGCCTGATTTTTCAAATACTGTCACATTCTAGTTTTCCGAATGCTTGTGATACTAGGGAGCAGGGGTCAGGCAGAGGTTTCTCCTTCGGTGTCTTTACATGGCATCGGGGCTGCTGAGGAGCCAGGTGGGCGTGATGACAGGCAGCAGGAAATTGGGTGAATTTAAAGGAATGAACATTAATTTAGTTTCTGTTCCAGCAGTGCCTGAGTGAAGGGGGGTAGGAGGTGTACTGTGGAAAAAAAACCTTATTTCTAAGTCTTCCCTTTGCAGAGTGGAGGGAGAAATCTGCTAGTGGACAGCATTCATGTGTGCCGTGGTCTCACTGGGGTGGTGTCTTTATACAGTGCTTTTTAAATTTGAGAGTGGGAGGATGAAGCCAAGTAAAGAAAACTAGGCCCTTGACTTGCAACATTGTCACCATCGTTGTCATGTTACTGTTGTATGTGCCTTTCCAAGTGGCTGTGTCTGTGAGTGAGTCAGTGAGTGTGTGTGTGTGTTGCAAGGCCTTGAGTGCTGGCCAAGCGCTCTGCCACTGACCCCCACCCCAGCTCCTCAACTTCACAGGCCTGCTGCCCCCGCAGGACCACCACAGAAGGAACCCCGATGCCCTCGTCAGGCTGGCCTTCTTCAAGGTTCTCTGTTTTAGAAGCTGTCTTTGTGGTTGTCTCTTTAAAGACTCTGAACTATTGACCTTTTTATAGTCTAATTTTTGGTTTTTGGTACCGGGGATCGAACTCGGGACCTTGCACTTACAAGGCAGGCACCGGAACCACTGAGCTACATCCCCGGCCCTTATAGGCTAATTTTTACATGAAGAGAAGAGTGAGGAAAGAACCAGCCCATCTGATAGATTTCGATTCTCAGGCACAACTGCTGAGCTCTCACCGTGAAAAAAACCCCAGTTCATTTGCATCCAAGAAAGGAATGAGACCGGAAGTTAGGATGTAATAACAGCAGAGCCTTATGGAGAACTCTTCGGCTCTCAGAGTTTCCTCTCCTCTGCCTCCCGCCCCGCGTCATGTGAGAGGCAAGCTTTGGCTCCATAGGCCCCGTCAGCCAGTCTCCCAGGATGCTCCATCATCTCCCGGACCCCTGATTCTGCATCTGCTGGGGTGCTGGAGAGGGCGCTGCCTGCGGGGCCCCCCGCTGCTGTCGCTCTTTTCTCTGCATCCCACCCCAGCCCCAGACTGGGAGGGTGGATGGCCTGACTCTGGAGGTGCTTCCCCTCTGCCCACCCTGGAGTTGGAGGAGAAGGACGGCTGCTGCTCATGGGTCTCCCCACACTGACGTGGGTCTCTTGCCCTCTGTGCTCCTCCCTGGGACCCTTCAAAGTCTGGCTGCAGCCATTGAAAGAAGGTGGAAAGCTGTGCCTCTGCAGGTCTGAAAGGGGCTGGCAGTGAAGGTGTTGCCATCTGGCGACTTCAGCCTCTTTAGTGGAGGTGATGTCTTCCCCAGAGAATGTGCTGGGGACCAAGGAGGGCTTTGCTTCTGTGTCGCACGAAGTGTAAGTGAAAGAGTTTTCTCATTTGGGAGTGTTTTACATATTCTGACCTCTGAAAAGTCAGTTTTGCTTTTGTTCTTTGTATTTGCATCCTGTTTTGTCTTCAGGAATGCTTACTGTTTGAGATCATCTGCACTGACACGTTCATTAGGTTCCTTAAAAGCATGTAATTGATTTTTGTATGCATGGTCTAATCAAATTAGTAATGTGCTTGATTTCCAGTCTGTCACCTTTCCTATATAATTTGACATATGTTTTCTAGGGACTTTATAGTGTATAGTTACTGAGCATACGAGCAAATCTTTATTGAGGTTTATTATAGTCCCACTTTGACAAGACTGAGAAATAATCAAAAGATAAGTAATCGCTAGGGCATAGCTAATTCAGTCTTTTATGTAGGTCTGCCCTCTTGTGTTTGTACTAGGAAATCGTGGTTATATTTTACTTGGGGAAAGCAACTGGCAACCTACATTATGAAAACTGTTCATAACCAGCACACCTTCTAGTCAGTATTAATCATGTGCGTATTTTAGAGCAGCGATGGCAAACCTTCTAGGGCTTTCAATGATACAAATAGACCACTGCGGCACGCGTGCTAGGTTCGCCACTACTGTTATAGAGAAGTTTCACTGAGCTCAGGAACTCAGTGAACTCAATTTTCAGTATAGGTGATTCTGATTATTTGCATTCAGCAAATACACATTTTTAAATTGTAAAAGGCAACATGAAACACTTAAAGATTAATTCCCTTGTAATGCCCTGTAAGTTAAGATTAGAATTCATTCCATAGTAGAAAGTATTTGAACATTTAGTATTTTAAATTTTTTAAATACATTGCTTTTCCTATTGTTTCCTCTTTGTACATCACAATTGAGTAAGTTCTATTTAAAGAATAGGTTCTTGTACATTTAGATTGTAATTTCTATCAAATGCAGAATAAAAACCAAATCATTGTTTCCATTTTCTTAGGAATAACTAACTGCACGGTTCATAGTCCGCAGTTGGTGCTGTAACGAAAGGATAGCACTCATCAGTCCTGCTGGCTCTCTGACTGTCCATTCTAGGACTCGGGCAGTTTGTGTAGCTACAGACCAGTGTGCTGAGTGCTGTCTGTGACCCAGCGCTTACTGGCTGGGGTGAGGGCTCTGGGCCGTGTCCTGCGCTGTCGTGCGAGACCCTTCCCCTGTGCTCCTGTGATGCCGAGATCGCGCCCGGTTCCCTCAGAGAGGAGGACCCTCTGCACTGTGCAGCTCGCAGCCCTGTGTTGGGGGCTGAGTCAGCGTTGATGTTGCCGATTGTTCTCGTCAGCACTGTTTGGAAAATGCGGCCGACTGTACACTGTGTGCTCCTGAGTGACTGCAGTGTGGGTGACACAGCCTGGCCCGAAGCTACAGCTGCTGTGCGGTGCAGCCTGGATGTAAACTCTTACACTTGAACCAACTTCACTTATTGAACATGGGTAAACGTATATTTCCAACACCAGTTTTTACTTCTGTTGTTTTATTAGTTGCGAGATGCTTCAGAAATGATCGGAGGGGAGACAGAAAATGTGTGCATCAAGAACATGATTATAGGGTAGCAGCGCTGGATCTATTATTTAGCTAAGTGGACTGGCTTAAAAAATAAGTCTGTATACCTGGTTGATAGATTAAGGAAAATAACTATATCTTATGGTAACTAATAGGACAAAAAGTTCATTTTAAAACGTGATATAAGAATATTTGGAGGATTTAAATTTTATTTCCTTAATGCTTGAAATAATGTATTTTTCTGTCATTTGAAATCATTTTTTCCTTCGTTGGTCTGAGGTTGGATAGAGAACAACCTTTACAATCATTCTGAAGTCTTAGGTTTTTGATATAGTATGACAAGTTAGGTAATCCACTACAACCTTAAATTAAGGTTTGGCTCTGTTCTGTTAGTGTTAGTAGTTATGGTAACCAGTAGTTACCAGTTCTTATCTGCTGATGACAGTGTCTTAGAGTCATGATTAACTTACATGTACTAAAATTCTGTTCTTTGAAAAGAATTAGCGGAATTTATTTATATAAGGATATGTTCCTTTCTCTATTTGATTTTCAAAAACTTCAAAAAGTGTTCATTTGGTACAGGAAAAGAATATAACTTGTGATTTGGAAGTGAGCCCCTGACAAGGGGTCCCAGCAGTATCTGTAGCTGCCAGGGCTCAGGGTGCTTTGTGTGTGATGCACGTTTGACTTGTTCCTCTCGTGCAGTGATGGCGAAGCTCTCAGAGCTTTCAGGGATACAGACAGCCCACTGTGGCACACATGCTGGAGATTTGCCACCACTGCCGTGGGGAAGACCTAAGCACTAGGCAGTAGCTATCAAAGATGCTGTGACAGTGCATCCTAAATGCATCCCAAACACGTTAGCCTCAGAGAGAGGCCAGCGCTGTGTGCAGGAAGTGACCTGGGCAGCAGTTTTGTCTCAAAATTAAGCTCCTCCTCCACCCTCAGAAAGGACTTGAGAAAGAAACTGCAGGCTATTGGAAGCAGTCGCTGGGTGGCTCACGCACTCTACACTGGTCGCTAGGAAGCGAAGGTTGGAGGTGCTTGCTGAGCCCAGGGTCTGTGCTCCCACAGTGTGTTGACCTGGGCCCGCTCTCCCGCGGGGAGCTCTGTGCTGAGGAGTGGCCGCTGCCTCCCCTCCTCAAGGGCCAGCTCAGAGCAGCATGACGATGATGCAGATGAGCAGCAGGCAGATGAGGATGAGGCAGAAGTTGATGAAGAGGTTCTGGAGGTTCTGGCGCGCCTGCTGGGGCATCTCGATGGCCGAGGCCCTCCGGATGGCTGAGCGCGTCAGGTACTGCACCTTCTCCATGATGCCAGCCGGGTGGGCTGCAGTGCTGGTTCGAGGAGATGGTCAGGGCTGGCACCAGACGGAAGTGCTTCCTCAGACAGCCTGGAACTAGAGAGGGCAGGTGGGTTAGCAACCGTGTGTGACCTGGAGCACGTGTGTGCACGCGTTTGTGCACGTGTGAGTCCTGTCACTGCCCCCGTCGGGACGCAGCGGTGCAGTCTCATTTGTGTTGGGAGGCTTGCCATGTCCACCGTGACTGGCAGTGTTGTTGGTTTGTGGTGCAGCTTGCTCAGGCTGTTTCTGTGGTCAGGTTCTTACATGTGGTTTCGGTGGACAGAATGGATGTGAACAGTTAGTATACTAAAAGCTGCAGAGCTAGTCTCATAGAAAAGAAGTACGAACAACAAATTATTTCCTTAGTCTCGTTAGTCCAGAACAGCGAGGTGCTGTGGCACAGGCCTGTAATCCTAGCACCAGGGAGGCCGAGGCAGGAGGATGCTGAGTTCAGACTAGCCTGTGCTACACAGTGGGATCCTTCCTCTCTCAACTGAAATACAGAGCAACAAAAACCAGAGCAGTTGAGAGAAGCCAAATGAGACAGATTCCAGTAGTTTGTCGTCCTCTTCATGATCTGGAGCTTGGTTAACGAGACTCGCTGTTGGTGGTGCAGATTGTCGGGCGGGGAGGCTCGGTCGCCAGGTCCTCTCACCGTCCTGCACACAGTCCCGCTGACACTGCACTGTGCTGGGGACAGCTGTTGCCCTGCCTGCTTTCCCAGCTCCACAGCCTGTGGGTGCTTGTGGGGCCTGAGCCCTGACACTTAATAAATGAAACAGAGACATATATCATAGATAACTTACAGATGAAAAGCTAACTGTCCAGCTCAATGATACTATGATTTGGAGATATTTTGTTTTCAATCAGAATATTTCTGTTTCAGCCAGGCATGGTAGCACACACCTGCAATCCCAGCACTTGGGAGGCTGAGGCAGGAGGATTCCCGTGAGTTCCAGGCTACCTGGACTACACAGTGAGACCCTGCCTCAAAAAACAAAACAAAGCCAAAACAAAGACTACTTCTATTTCAGTTTTGAAATAAGACATATTAAAAATGGAATTAAAAGCTCTGTAAGCCCTGCCTCCAGACCACGTGTCTGGCCCTTGGTGGTGGGCCCTTGTGAGCAGCTGGCCACTCGAGCCTGGCCGCCCCGCTGCAGGTTCTCTTTCCTGTGCACACCGGACGCTCATCTCGGCCTGTGGGCCCCACCTGAGAGAGGCCAGCTTGAGTGAGACGGGCGGCAACCTGGAGGCTGCCAGCTTGGCCGCTTAGGACCCGGGTCTGTGCCCCGAGGGACCCATGCCAGATGCAGCTGTGGCTTCTTCAGGGCTCTGTGTGCTCAAACCAGTGCAGCTGAGTAAGATTTTTGTGACCGAAAACTTTAGAAACGTTAGTGAGCCCAGGGTTGTCACATGAGGTATATCTCTGTACCTTTTAAAAATTTGTAGACAGGGCCTTGCTAAATTGTCCAGGCTGGGTTTGAATTTGTGATCTTCTTGCCCCAGCTTCCCTGACTGCTGGGATTACAGGCGTGTGGCACCATCCCTTCCTGAAACCACCCCCGAATATCTTGACTCCTAAATTGACCCCATAATGGAGTGTCCTAGCTTCAAAGCCCTGCCTGGAAGAGAATCCTTCAAACAACACAGAGAGGACTTTTTCCTTTTGGAACTGGGATGTGGTTGTTGCTTTTGGGGTGGTTTCATTACTGCTCACTATTTCACATGTTGAAATAATGAGTTAACATTTAGTTGCACGAAAGTGTTATTTTAACTCTACAGATGCTGGGGCTGCAGTTTTCCTTTTTGAAGCGGATGTGGGGAGGGAGTTTGGGTCCCCATCCATGTGAGTCAGTCCGGTTTTATTTTTGAGCCACTGAGTGGAGTACTCAGTATGAGCACTAGGGGTCCTCAGTGGACCATGCCTGTGCTGGGTGGAGCCAGATGCCAGGCTTCACTTTCGCATATTGGGTCTGAATTCTGGAGTTTTGACGTAGGTTCGCTGTTTCGGGGAATGTCCAGAGACATACCATTTTATCTGAGGCAGGGCACTCAGTTACTTCTTTTTTCTACGATACATGTTAGGCCATCATGATTTAAACAAGAGAAAAAAACCACTTTGGAAAGGATAAGAAAGATTGTGTGTAGAGAATATAAATTAAGTCACTGTTAAGAAACAAGAGGTCCACAACAGCCTATTTTTTAAAAGTTACTATAATGACTTCTTTTTTCAAGATGCCCTCGAAGAGTGGAGAAGTAGATTGAGTATAAACAGGTGAAAAAGAAGATGTTTCAATTTCTGGAGACGGACTTGATGGAAGGGGCGCGCCGTCCCCGGAAATGTGTGACGCGTGAGAACCCTGAGGTGACCGTTCAAGGGACGCAGACTGAGGATGCTGCCCGAGCCGCTGTCCCCGTCAGCGTCAGCCAGGGCCCTGGGGAGGCCGCAGGAGCCCCCTCCTCAGCTGGCCTGGGCACCGCGTCCCCACCTCGCTGGCTGGCCTGATGGCAGAGAGTGCGTGGCAGCCGCAGGGCGGGGTGGCTTCTCTGCCGGGCGGGCGCTTTGAACAAAAGCAGCAGTGGAAATGGTGCGGTGCGGAAGGCGAGGCGGAGACCAGAGCGGGCCTTCTGGGGGCGTGTAGGCGCCTCCCAAAGTGTGCTGTTTGGAGAAGAGTTTTGAGGAGAGACCTGGATTTTAGATAGCCAGCCTAGATGGATTGAAGATGTATGTTTAATCAAGGAAACAGGTTAAATAATAAGAAGCTTTTATTCAATTGTGGCATGCTCTTTTTAAAAAAACCTCTGTGGTTATTTTGAGCTTTTCCTACCCAGGTTTATTGCTTAATACCTCTGAACATGTGTAGCTTTCTTATATCCCTGGCTTTGAAAATGATCAGTAGACTATCATTTACTAAAGAAATAATGCTAGATATATAAAGTAAATGCAAATGAAATCAAATAGCTTTAAATTAACAAGTGTGTGTTCTCTAAATTTGCCCCATGAAGTGCCTCCGCGCTACCGAGTGCTTCCGGGCTGCTCTGCGCTCTCAGCTCCTGCCTTGTTTTCCAGCCGCCCTGCCCAGCGTGCAGGACAAACAGCTTCAGAGCCGTGCGCCTGGGCCCCCGCCAGGCCTCTGTTCGCAGCTCGTGACCTTGAGCAGCCTGTGTCTGTCCTGGGCCGGAAGCAGATGCAGCGGCACAAGCATGCAGTGAGGGAAGAGGTCAGGGAGGCGCTGGCGTGCAGAGGGCCCCTAGGAAATTGTTTCTCAAGAGTGAAGACGGGAACTGTAACTGACCTTTTGTCTCGAGTCAATAATAAATACACTATCTAATTTATAGAGCTAATCTACACATTAATTTTTTCAGTTAAAGCTTTAATACATTGTATATAGTTTCATATGGCATAATCAGTACATAAGACACTAAATACATTTTGAATACACTAAAATAAATATTCTGTCTCTAATCAGTGAGATTACAAAACAGTACGTACGTACATATAATCCAAATGCATTTTCCTTTGTCTACTGAATACTGTGAAAGTAATTCTGCTGAGAGTCCTAGACACAGTAGTGGTGTGACCCTCAGTGAAGCAAACACTGCGGTTCCTTTACTTGTTATTAGAACTTAGTGTTTCATACCTTCTGGGTCTTTCACATTTTTCCTATCTAGATTTTATCCAGCACTATTTTTAGCACAAAGACAGCACTTGAGTGTCACCGTGAGCTAGGGACACACTAGTTTGGACGTTGTGTCTGCTGCTGGGGTGTGGGCTGAACACTTAGCAGCAGTGGCTGCGATCTGTTACCCCACTGCCCGGACATGCCCCCTAGTTGCTGGTCACTGCAGTGGGGCCATCTGTGGGGGGCACTGTGACTCAGCGGGCATCGGGACAGAGGCGCAGAAAGCGCTGCACGAGCGGCTGCTGTATTGTCTCACAGGAAAGCATTTCCCGAGCTCAGAGACACGGGAGCAGTCAGCAGTCCCTGAGCCTCCCTCAGTGGCACACAGGCTGGGAGAAAATGTCTCTCGCCTGTCTTGAGGGGAACTGCTGTGGGACTGCACTTTTGTTTGTTGGATCAGTGAATTCCATTTGTCCCAGAACTGGGAATCCTAGAGGTAATTTATCTTTGTATGTATGTAATTTGCTCTGGCCTGAGAGAGATTTAAACATAAGGATTGTAACAGTACATTTCAAACAGAAGTCCTAAAATTCACTGTGGCGGGTCCGTTTCTGGGCATCCCCCCCCCCCGCCCCCCGCGTAGGACAGTAATGTGACAAAACTGTATTTATTGGTAGGGAGTTTACGTTTAAAATGTTGAATTATTCTGTAACTTTGGACTTCTATATGTGTTTGTGACAAGTTTATTAACATTTCAAACTTGTTCTTTATGATATAGTATTAAATTTTATATAAGATATTTTAGAAGTGTTTGTTATAAATTGACTAGATTTTAGAGTGGAAAAAATCTTCTGAACATTTTCAAAGTTGCTTATATTCTACATTCAGAAACTGTCCTACTAATATCCCTGCAGGGAATCACAGTGATGCTGTGGACCAGGTCCCTGACAGTGAGCCGCCCCCAAAGCCCCCCCACATTCCAGACCTCAGAGACATCATCCGGGCCTGTGCCCACCGCAGGAGAGCACAGTGACGAATGAAACCCCACTACCACCAAAGATGGTCATGGAACTGGAGGGTTTTGTAATTGCCAGAAATTCACATTTGAAAAGCAAAATGAAAGTGAAAGTTCAAGCAACAGACCAGTAACCAGGATTTAGATGACTGACCCTCTCCAAAGTCGTCTCGTTTTCACAGCCACTGAGTGCCTACGTATGGATGTACAAACTGCTTCATCTTAGCAGCGATTGTATTATCTAACTTCAAACCTAAATTTAGAAAGCATGATTAACTCTTCTTCAAAGTTCACTGCGTTTGAACTGTAGAAACCCAGGTGAGACTGCAGTGCAGTCTGTGTCTTACCTTGGCTCCGTGATGATCTCGGGCCGTGGTCGGTCAGCTGGAGCTTCCTGACCGTCTCCAGGCTTCTGCGTGCAGCTGCCGGAGCTGGGGAGAAAAGTGTTTCAGGGAGGTCTCAGGATATCGCCCTGGATCCTGCAGCTGTGATTGGCCAGCATAGGCTTGTCACACCAAACAGAGAGCTTCACTTATCTCTCTTTTGGTGTGGAATGGTAATTAACACTTTGTGCTTCTTTTTTATTTTAGTTTTAAAACACATATTGCAGATAAATGAAAAAAATAGACTTGGGTGGTAGAAAGCATTTCTTAAAGGTTTTTGCATCTTTAGACTTAGAGATGATTACATTTTATCGGAGATGATGTTGAAGGCTAAGATAGTTACTATAATAGGAATTTTAACAGGGAGCATAATAGTACAGCCTTTAGGGAAACAGTGTTTATTGAGTTGTTAATTGCTGTTTTGATCCTGCAGTTTCATCATGCTGCAAGACAAAACTTAAATACTTCCACAAAAATCAGATTTTATACTTTCCTGTTTTATTTTGTTCTTGTGCCTCATAGCAGTGTATGTGGAAGAAATGTGTGTGAGAAAACCAGGTTGATAACTGCTTTTGGCTTAACAAATAAAAACTTTATCTTATAAAGAACTAATAAGTATTCATGTTTTCGTTAGTTATTAGTTTAACAATACATTTACAAATAATTGCCATATTTAAGCTGACATTTACAGCCTGTAGAAAAATAGCAATTTACAAATTAAAGTATTTTTTAATAGCCTCATTAAATTGCCATAAAATCTTACCAAATTTTTAATGAGCTGACTCAGTATCAAGGGCAACTTTCTAGCAAAAAAGGAATGGCTGTAAATTCTTCATCATCTTTGCATGATAAACTTTATTGACACAGGGTTGTGTGTGCTGAAATATAAGTTGTGTAGTATTTCTAAAAGGATGTGCTTTGTTTATTCCAGCATTTGCTTTCCTGAAAAATTCTACTTCAGTGAAGTTTTACTAAGTGAATGGTAGTTTGAGCTTTGTAGGTAGAGCTATGTTCTGTCTTGAGCTTTCTGTGATAGAACTGAGGAGAGGACCCTTTTAAGAAGCTGGCCATCATTCCCCTGTTCTGGGTGAATAATTTTTTTACATACTAGAGTTACTTAAATCCCCGCACATACAAACTCTCATCCATGAGAAGCTACTTGAGACTTACGCTATGAGGCTCGCGGCAGGGTGAGCTCAGCCTGCCTCTCTCTGCTGCGGGTAACGGGTGTGCGGGCAGCCCTGCTGCTGTGCCCTTAAATGGAGATGATCTTGGCTTCTTCCAAAGAAAGATAAAATCCTTCTCCTGAGCAAATCTGTTATTTAAAGAATCAACTGAAACAATGAAAAATAGCATTTCAGCCAAGACCCTCTGTAAACATTACTAAGGGAAAATTTACAACCTTATGGTAATCCCCAAATGAAAATAATTTTATGAATGTCGGAGACTTTGCTCAGTACTTTACAGCCATTTTTGTTTCAGTTCTTACACAATAAAAACATCTCTTCTTCTTGTCAGTTGTCAGTGAGACTGTAACAGAAGCCGAGAGACCTAAGGTAGCCTGAGAGTGTCAGGGATCCCACAGCTGGTTCACAGGGCATGCACTGAGAATTTGGATCAGGACGTGTTTAGCCGTGACCCCATAGGTCAGTGCACTGCAGCAGAAATGTGTGGGTGTCGCTGTCACAGGGCAGCAGGCATGGACTGGGAAGCTCTGGGGTGGAGGTGGAGCAGTTGCTGAACTGTAGCTGGTTGGGAAAGTCTGCTCTGAGTTTGCCCCCCACTTCCGCATTCATTTGAAAGTGACGCTTCAGAGAGGTGGTGGCAGTGACCTGTGTATGTTCTGAGAAAACAGCCCTGTGCCATTGAGCTGGGGACGCTGAAGACACGGAGGGCGGGATGAAGTGTGTCCTCATGACCTAGCGCTCGGGCGTATGGCAGATCTTCCTTACCGGGAGACTCACCGTGTGTGTGTTGGGGCTGGAAATGAATCATTTACTTTTCAGATTTGTTTACCTTTTTTGTTGGGTTGGCTGATGAAGGTGATGAAGATTCCACGTGGAATTCTAGGAAGTGTTACATGTTAGTCTTCATCTGATCCCACACACAGAAAATTGCTCGGCAGGAACACTGGGATTTACCGGCCAGTCAGTGGCGTGTTCCTCACGCCCTCAGGAGGAGCTGGGGAATTCTGCGGTGTCTCGTCAGTCATCGGGTCACATTGCTGTCTGAGTCTCCTTCAGTCACCTCTGCCACATGCAGCCGTGGGGCGCTGTCATTGCTGGGAGCTCAGCGACATGGCTGTGCAGGGATTACTGGACAGTTCTCTGTCCCTCCAGAGCACAGACAGAGCTCAAATTCCGTGAACTTGAAAAGGAAAACAGTTGCATCTTTAGTTTTACTACACTCCCAGTGTGACCCCGTATCTTCAGTTCTGTTGTAGATGACAGGTTGCAGAAGCGTTAGCCGTATGACTGTCACCACAGACGTCTGTGAGGTCACATGGGGCCTCCAGATCTGTGGATTCCCTGCCCGTGGACTTTCTTGTCATTGTTCCCTACATAATGCCACCTAACAGCTCTGTGTAGCATTTACATCACGTTAGATACAGGCGTTGGGGATGATCAGAGCACGTGGAAGGGTGAGCAGAGGGCGCCTGTGAACGGCGTTCCATTTTATAGGAGGCTGAAGTCTGTCCTGGATGTTAAGGGACGGCTGCCTCACCGCTTGGAAATTAGCATACTTATTGCTGCCTGTAGGTATTGTTGTTTAATAGATTCATAAACACATAGATTCTTACATCACAGATTTTTTAAAAAAAATAATTTTGATATGTTTCCTTTCTTGTGTATTTTATTTTTTTTTAAAGTTTTATTTCAGAACCATTTTAAATTTACAGAATTACTGCAAAGCAAGTACAGAGCGTCCCTGTGTATGCACCACCAGTTTCTCCTGTTGCTGGTGCTCTCCCTTCGTGGGATCCCTCTGTTCCAACCATCGCACCAGCATTGCTATGCACTTGAACTGAAGTCTCCCCAGAAGCCAGGCTTCCTTGCTCCCCCCGAGGCCCTGTCCTCTAACAGGGTCCTGCCCGAGATGGAGGTGCCGTGTTTGGCGCCTCAGACCGTCCTGCTGAGGTGGATGGTTTTGAAGAGTGTTGGCAGCTCTTCTGGGGACAAACAGCTTGGTGGCCTGAGATGCAGGCGGGGGAGGCTTGGGGCGTTTCCGCCTCAGCTTCCCTGTTCCCACGGCATAGCCCGCGAAGGCAGCGTGCTGGTCACTGGACTGGGCCGCAGCATATGCCCAGTTTCCCATCTCACTGTTCCCTCTGGGATACAGGGAAGGGAAGATTGCTTTTCCTTGCCTGTTGCTAGGTTCACGGCTGAGGTCCCTGTAACCAAAAAACCCAGATTAACAGCAGACAAAAAAATATTCAAAAGAGAGAAGGATTTATTTTTCACATGGCACGAGAGCCTTCGTAAGGACCTCCGAGGCAGACGCTTGTGTCTTTTAGGGTGTGCTGGAAAGGTGGGGCGCTGTGGGGACGCGTCCTGTCCTGAGAGTGCCTGGTCCTAAACTGAGGGCCAGGGCAGCCGTGTGTTTTGGTCGGAGGCCAAGAGCGGCCACCGAGAGGAGCGGGGCGGTGGGCGAGAGGAAGTGCGAGTGCTTCCCTGTCTGCGCCTCTCAAGGCAGGGTGCCGTGCTTTGGGGGAGCACGGGCTGGGCCCCATCAGAGGAGCCCTTGTGCAAGCACCACGCTGAGGCCCCACGCCCCGTGAGCGGCCGAGCTACGGAATCACTCACAACCCTTTTTATTTCATGTCTGTAAAAATGTTCTGGGAACAGATCAGTGGTTTAGCATTTTGCCAGAAAGACCCGTGGCACAAAACAGTAAAGAATTCTAGACGACGTTTCTGTAGCTACACGGAATGGCACTTTCTTGAAAGAGGAGTGGTGAGTTTGCCCTCAGGCTGGCCGCCGGAGCTGTCAGCTTGGCGTTTTAGGTGCTGTGGGGCTGTTTTCTTGGCTGGCGCGTTCCTGTGTCCGCGCTCTGCTTGTGTACAGCTCGCTGTGGCCCTCCGAACAGGTCCTGTGCTGTTTTAAGCCTCAGTGCTCTTTGCTCAGTGCCCTTCTTACCAGCCCCGTGCCCATCAAAGTGCTGTTTCAATTCGTGGCGGCTCCTCACACCAGACATTTGCACACAGCCCTGTCACGCTGATGCTGTTGTGTGAGTGTTTCTGCCTCTGCAAACTGCAGGCTGCTTGGGGTTGCTTCACTCACTCATTTGTGCTGCCGCTCATTCCTTAGGGCGTGGTTGTGCGGCACAGACAGACCCAGGGGGACCCTTACCTGCTGGGGGCGCAGGGCAGGCTTGCTGGGTTGTCCTGCAGAAGTGCTGGGGCCGTTCCGCAATCTTCCCCATTTAGGGCAGAATACCCCAGGAAGTCAGTCTCTCAGTCTTTCTCTTTTCTCCCTCTCCCTCTCTCTCCCTCTCTGTGTGTCTCATTATTTTAAAATGTAAATTTATTTGGAGGGTAGAGTAAAGGAAGGTCATACTGTTAAGTCCGTGCTTCCTGAACTGAGCCCTTTGAAAAATTTTCTTTCCTCATTGGATTCATCATTGAGTAGTCCTTAGTACTTTATAAACTTAACATTGGTATATGCAGACTTTTATTCATAGTGACTTTATTTTAACTTTAATTTTTTTTGGTGTTTTAGTCACCAGCACCCATGAAGGGGCCACTGAAGGAAAGGCACTTGCTCTCGGTGGTGTCTTAGCCGTTCTAGTGTCGGTCCTCGTCTCCTCAGTCTGGGAGTGGGTTATTCTGAATCCTTGGCTTATTTCTTTCCTTTTGTTTCTGTGTAGGTTGAGACCTTTATATGTGTGCCCCTGAAGTGTGATGCAGTTTCTGACTCAAGTGTAATCTTTTAGGTCAAGAGTTTAAACTCTAGTTTGAAATGGTGTCAGGTGGGTAGAGGATCCGGGGAACACCAGTGTTTCTGGAAGCATTTGAACACGATCTTTTAAGTGGTGACTAAATTAGAGCATTTTAATATTTAGACAGGT